AATTCCTATTTTAAGATCAGGTGATTAGCAACCTTAATTTTATCAGCCAATGTAATTCCTCACAGGTTTGGGGAATTAAGATGTGGACAATATTTTGGATGGCCATTCTCTCTACCAGAGAGAGAATAACTCAAAAGAGACTACTGAAACTATAAAAGGATGAGATAAATTAATTGGAAAATTTACTTTCCCCTCCCTATCCCCAACTACACAATGAGATGGGCATATGAAAAAAAAAATTAGATCACTTTCAAAATGGAGAAGTCATGTTTCTCTTTCATAACTGTTCTAAGTATAAATACTTTTTTTACTTCAGTGTATGCAGATTATGTGAAACAGTGTAATAACTTTTTTTATTTATCATAGATTTAGCAAATACTGCTTAATATAATTCTGGATTTATCTCATGGCTCAAGTAGAACATTTATTTCTTATTTATTCTGAATGTTAAAAACAATTTTTTCAAATATGTTTTTATTGATTTTTATAGCGAGAGGAAGGGAGAGAGATAGAGAGATAGAAACATCAATGAGAGACAAACATCGCCTCTACCATGTCCTCCACTGGGAATCAAGCCCACAACCCAGGCATGTGTCCTGACCTGGAATCGAACTGTGACCTCCTGGTTTCTGGGTCATGCTCAACCACAAAGACAATGGAATAATTTTAGATGCTTGGTGACAACTTCTCAGATGAAAGGTTTTCATTTTTCCCCCAAAGTTTGCTGCTATTTCTTGTATATAGAAAAATAAATAATAATCAATATAGAGCATCATGTTAGCAGTTACAGGAACTGGTGGCTTTTTTTTTTCTAATGGAATTTTTCCTTTTAAGTGATATGCTTAAATTTTTTTATTTTCCATTGAGTATTTAGATATCATGACTTTCATATTTTGTTTTGTTTCTGTGAAGTGCATCTTTAGTAAACAATCCTAATTAAAATAACTGGGAACTTTGCAAGAGAAATGAGTTTTTGAAACTGAGATATTAAGTGTTTTATCCCATAGGGGATGTGCCACCAATCTTTTTTTTTTAAAATATATTTTATTGGTTTTTTACAAAGAGGAAGGGAGAGGTATAGAGAGTTAGAAACATCGATGAGAGAGAAACATCGATCAGCTGCCTCCTGCACACCCCCTACTGGGGATGTGCCCCCAACCAAGGTACATGCCCTTGACAGGAATGGAACCTGGGACCTTTCAGTCCGCAGGCCGACGCTCTATCCACTGAGCCAAACCGGTTAGGGCAGCCATGCTTTTGATCTTTATAAAGAAGTTTACTTACTTCCATCCTGGGAAGAGATGGCACTCACATTCTCCATATAGTTATCTTACAGATGTGCATATTTGATCTTATAGGAAGAGACTGTAAATTTATCTTTAGTAAAACTCAACCAATTAAGAATATCTTGACAGCAAGTGTATTAGAAGTGTATTTGTAATAAAGGATGGCAGCATGATGGGTGGAAATACCCTAACTAATTACTAATTTTCTTTGGAGGTTATGTCTAAAATTAATGCTTTTAATTCCTAAGATATAAGTTAGGTTTAAGATCTCTAGTAAACTTATTCTGAATAATATTTTATTGCAAATTATTTTGGATTCAGTAGTATATTAAAATATCACAATTGCATTTTTTATTTGGGTTGTGAGAAAAATAGTAAAGCCTAATGTTAAAATACTATAAAAATGTAATGCATCTCATTTTTAAATATATCTAATAACTCAAACTATGACAGAATGTTATAGCAGGAAGCAGGAAGCCTAACTTGCCTGGTGTAATAAATGGTAGTACTTAAGGAAGGCCTCTTTTATTTTATGTGTTCATGGTTTACAAATCCCTATTTGTTTAAGATGTTAGAGTGGACCATCCACTAATCTTATTAATAAAATTATTATGTTCATCAAATCCTTTGTAAAATAGGAATTTCCAAGTGCATTATATATGTCACTAGATTCTAAATGTATGTGATATTCTGAGAGTTTTCCTTCTGTTTTGATTTTTACTTAGCAAAATGAACAACTAGCAAATAAGTATTACCTCTTTGAATATCTTAAGCTTTTTGTGTAATATCAAGTAAAAAAAAATGAGATGACTATGCAGAACAGTCATACATTCTTACAAAAAAAGGACAGTCATGACTGTGTATATGTGTATTTATGTATACATATCTCTTTGTGTGTGTAAGAGAAAGAAAGAAAGGGAGAGAGATTAGTTCTATATGTTTTAATTACCAGTAAAATTTCAATGTCTTGCTTGAAGACTTAGAAAATTTGGCCTTTGATAGGAAAAGCGTAATAAGGTGAGGCAAGTAGCTTGTTAGGTTTTTGGGCAATCAACTAGAGAAGAAGCATGATACATTATTTATCCACAACCAATTTACATCTTTGATTTTAGGTGTGTGAATTTCTGTGTCTAGTAGTTCAGAAATGTAAGTGTAGTATTTTTGTTTTGTTTTTTTTTTGTGTGTGTGTGTGTTTTTTTTAAATTGAGCCTTGTGACCTCTTACTGGTCTACTTAGGCAATTGCCTCACCCATCCCTCATACCAAAAACTTCATTTTTGGAAAGCATAAATAGGAGAGCTGTGCTTTTTTAAAAAAAAACAACAACATGCTTATCAAATGAAAAATCAACTTAAATGTTTATCATATAAATATTGCAAATATTAAAAAGAGGACTATGATATATAAATTGATAAAAAATAACATATTGGGATTCTTTCTCTCTAGTATGGGTGAAATTGTTGTTATATACATGTATCTATACAGATAAAGGTGAGTTACTACTTCTCCTAATGTGCCTATAGTAATCATGAATTCCATTCCTGATTAGAGAATCATGAGATAAAAATCAAAATATATCACCGAAACCGGTTTGGCTCAGTGGATAGAGCGTCGGCCTGCGGGCACATCCCCAGTAGGAGATGTGCAGGAGGCGGCTGATCGATGTTTCTCTCTCATCGATGTTTCTAACTCTCTATCTCTCTCCCTTCCTCTCTGTAAAAAATCAATAAAATATATTTTAAAAAAATCAAAATATATCAATAAATACAGGTAAACATTGGTGAAATTCCACCTTAGAAAATAATTGATGCTCAAAGCTTAGCATTCTTATTTGGAACAAGAAATATGTAAATTATAAAACAATGAGAAAATATAGAGCTGCCAACCACATCCCATTTTGATGATAATCTACATAGCCTTAAAACAGAATGCAATTTTATTTACCTTCAAAAACGCGAGCCAGAAATCGCCATTTCAAAATGCTTATTTCTTTACAGGATGGCTGAATGGCCATGAATTATGCAAATTGGTTTTTCTTTCTAGGTTCATTATACTTACACATTTTTTGGTGGGCTGTCTATCCAGACCCTTTATTATATAATGAGGTAACCCCCAAATGAAACCCTGAGCACCCTCTCTTCTTGGTCATCATATGCTGCCATTCTCCCCCTAGAAATTAATACACTCTGTATGCTGGATCCTGCCTTTTCAGCTCCTGTTGCAGAATCAGCGGTCACAACAGCTATTCCGTTCATGAATATGTAAATGCAACATGCATAAAATAAAATAAAAAGTATCAGGCGGTTCCCACTGCAGATCGTACCCAACTCTGCTTAACCGATTCACGGAAAACAAAGATTTAATTTTTTAAGCATTTTGAGTCAGTGTTTCAAGGACTGCTATAAGGATGTAACATGGAAATACATAAATGAAACATATGCAGATGTTCATGTTGGACTCGATAAATCAGCATCTATGTATGGCTATGGTGATGTGTGCAGACTCCCTTATTACTTCCTTCTGATGCCTAGTGAGTGAACAGGGAAAATGCCTTATGTCCTCAATAACCTTTTATGTGCTGACTAGGTTTCACTTCCATACCTCCTCCCAATAAATGATTAAAATAATGTTTAAATTACACAAAAATACATGCATGCACATACATGTACATTCATATATTTGTGTGTGTGTATATATATATGCACTTTTTCTTTTGAAGGGAAGAAATGAGGACTATATCCACTGAAGTATTCTGAAGGAGTCATTAAGCTCTGGGAAGGAAGTAATTGGGGGATTTTATTATTGAAATAAGCAAGCATGCTCATGCATATTTTTACGACATACATGCCTATGCGCCACCCCATGCAGACAGTGCTATTGCAGCTCCTGCGCGGTAATTAGGTGGATGTAATTACAGTGAAATAAAGGCAGCCTCACTGATAATTTCCCAGTGCATATGAAAGACATATGTGCCTTCCAGTGTCCAATAAATGAACCTGAACTGCTGTCAGGGGCTAGGAGGACACTGTGGCCAATGCACCTATTGTGTCCCTGCTGCAGAACGGAGCCCGCCGATTGGCCACTTCCTGCAGCACATAGCACTGGCTGGTTATAAAGGACTTGTCTAGGGGAGAGCCTGTAGGTACTCCATTGTCTGGTAAAGTTCATATGACTGCATTCTTTTTTTTTTTTTGCAAGGGGGGTGGAGGGAAAGCGGGGAAGGAGAGGGTGCAGCTCAACTGTAAAAGCTGCACAGATTTTTTTTCCTTTCTCTCTCTCTGCCTCTCCATAGATCGTTTCTGTTTCATGCCCTGTCTCATTTTGCATAGCTGAAAAAAAGAATGCTAATTAAGATCCCTTGTCTTAACTGAAAATAATGACTCGGATATAATTAGAAATCTGCTGAGAGTTTAAAATTTTGGTAGGGGACCAAAAACCTCAGTTACGGTGCTTAGGAGGAAAATGAAGACTTATTTTTTTCTGTAATCAAGGCAAACATGGGAGAGGGGGTCCCCCCTGCCCTTTTTTTAACCAATTTGAACCAATGGTGTTTGACTGCAGATGAGAGGATACTGTATTTCAAAAACGATTTCAGCCATCCAACTGAAAGGACACAAATCAGTAGCAATAGAAGCCTTCTTAATCCTCCTTAGGATGCAATTCAGATGAAAGAACTGCTTTTTTTTATTTTTCTTTTTGTATGTGTGTGTTATAGATGGATCTGAGAATGCTGTCTGGGCTTGGTGCCAAGCGCTGGTATTTCACAGCAGCGACCGCCTCACAGACGAGCTGTGGGAAGCAGGAGGGAGACTCTCTCTTAGGGTGCCACTACTATGGAGACACAGCTGGGCTGAACAAGATTCGCTTCAAACGACAACAAGAGAGACAGAAAGTATCTGGCTCAACCGCTGCCCAAGCAGGCAGGCACCAGAAGAGCTAGCAGCCAATCCGGCCATGCTCGAAGCCAGCTCTGCAGCTCAGCCAATCAGTGACATCACCGGTGAGAAACTCATTTACATCATGCAGTAATGAACTTTGTTTAACACAGCTCCCCCCCCACCCCACTTTCCCTTTTACCCCCCCTTTTAGGTCCTTCCATTAATTATTCTGCCGGCATCATTTAAACCGCTATGCAAAAATGTGGCCACATTCTCTCTGATAGCCTTTCCCTTTTTCCTCCCCCAGTGGTGTCAGCTGTCACTGAAAGTGGTTCTGGGTATTGGTTTTGACCTTGAAAAATGATTTTCTCTTTCTTAAAAAAAAGTCTTAGAAAAAAGTAAAACCTTTGATTATTTTATCTGAACCCACTCCCCCTTTATACAGAGCATGCTTTTTGCACGTTGGGATTCAGAATTAATTGTGCCAGGTAATAGAGAACAAGGGAGTGCATTACCATGGAATTTGCAATTTTCCCAAGCAATCTGCCTCTTAGCGTTTTCTTTAATGTTTGCAGATTGTATGCTGCAGTGGTCGTTTTACATACGGTGTTTTATCCCCAAACCCCTTCTGTGCATCTGTCACACGGAGGAAAGTTCACTCCTTATATTATTTTCTTCACTGCTCTCAGCCAACGTGTCATTTTATTAATGAATAGAACTGAGGTCATTTCTGAACAAATCTCTCTCTTCCCATCTCAGCACAATGCACCTGATTTGCATCTATTTACTAGAAAAATTGAATGCAAGAACCAGCTTGAAAAGAAGCGAAGGGACCAGTTTACAGATGATTTCAGAATGTATCGCGGCAATTTGTTTTTCAGAATGTGTAATATTTAACATCTGCCTTAGTGTTTCTGTAGAAACGCCTCATCTCCATTCCCAGTGTAATACTTTCCGCAAATGTATTGCTTTGTTCTATAACCAAAACTGACCCGAATGAAATAATAATACTTACGAATGAGCTCACTTATCAGTGGCAAACCTTGGGAAACACAATGCTGTCTTGTCCCTTCGTATTTCGTTTGTCTGAGATAAACTCATTTGTTCTATAGATAACTGAAAAAGTCTGGAACATGTGGCATGTGGAGATTTTCAGGTTGCTGTAGAGAATCACAAAGAGCAGAAAGTAGGTCACACTTAAATGTGATTTCTCTAAAGCCCTAACTTCTTGCATGTTGGCATTAAAAGGATATGGTTTTCTAGCAGAGAAGGTGAAGTTTCACTGTCTTTTTTTAAGAGAGAGAATATTTTGAATATAATATTTCAAGGACATGGAGACTTAAAAACATCGACAAGGGTTTCATAACAGTGCATGATTCGTTTAAGAAGCTTACAGAGTACAGTGATAGGCAGAGACAGTTTTAGAAGCATATGAAGGATTTAGATGCTAAACCAGGGCCCTTTTAATTCATGAGGCATTCCATCATCCCAACATCAGTATTCAGGGGGCGACGGTCCCGAATCAGTCATGAGCTCCCCTGCTGGAGATCCTGTAATTTGAATCATGTGTGTTATAATATATTATCCTACTGGGGGCCTTCTTTCAGTAGGAGAATGGTTTATACATTCTGCTATAAGAGAACTTTTGGCTCCCAGCCAACACACAGCCATTACTCACACAGGCAATCATGATCGTCTTCCTTAAGAAATAACATCTGTATGACCTCCTGAGCCAAAAAATCTGCAACCTCCCCCACATTCTGAATTATGATTTCTTGGAATTGGAAACACTCGACGAAAGTGAAGTAGAAAAATGGAAGGTTTAGAGGAATGGATCACAGTTTTATTGAGCATGCCCTGTGGCCAAAGTGCAAACTCCCCTTCCTTAGAAATGATGGCGAATGGTGGAAAGGGGGCCTAAAATAGACCTAGAGGTGTTTGTTTGATGTTTAGACACAAGCTGGGATGTAATGGGTTTTATGAAGACATGGCTGCCTGTGTGTTTTTCTCAGGACATCCTGCAAGGCCCTGCAAAGGGTGTGGTGACACGGAGGGATGGAGGAAGGGTGGGGAATATGGGCCGTGAAAGCAGAGAAACCTAGTCTCACCTCAGAAAGGAAGCCATGTGATAGAGCAGGAACCATTTGGCCCAGGAGTTAAAGGTTCAAAAACATGTCTCTGATTCTTTCTCCTGTGCTGATCTTGAAAAAAAATCCTGCCGTTTCTGCTTTTCCTTCTTTGTGAAAATTAAATACACTGTCAGCACAAGAGATATTCTCTCGGTGTAGAATACTTCCACACCTTTTTATTGACACATCCGAAATTGGGTGTGTGTTTTTTGTTGTTGTTTCAAGAACCAGATTCAGTGTTCCCTCTTGTATGAAATCTTTTCAAATCACCGTGGCCAGTCTCTATCACTTCATCATTCTCTTTGTGTCTCCGTGATTGCCTGTGTGGCTGTCAATATTGATGTAGGGCCACCCACATGTGCGTATGTCTTTGACATTCGACCAAAAGCCCCTTGGGGACAGAGACCAGGTTGAATTTACCCTCCACCTCAAGTTCTAAGAATGATAGATTTTGCTCCTAATATTTAAATCAGTATTCTAATTAATGACTTATAAGTACATTGTAAGGGGGTGGTTTACAAATTTCAGGGATTACTATTGCTTTGTTAACTGTTACCACTGGCTACCAATTGATGTCAGTTTTACCTTATTATTCTCATGCCTTTCATTTTGCTGGGCCTTCATTGAAAAGCTCAGAATAAATGTTTGCCGCACTAATTTTATTAAATAACTAATTGTAGGGGATTGTAAATCTTTTTATTTATCAAATAGGAGTTAATCCAACTTAGTTTGGTGTTTTAAAACTTAAAAAATAAATGAAATTGGTATAGATTAATTGTAAAGCCTCCAGGAGAAGCAAATTGTAGTCTCAAGCTCTTCTATTAATGATATGGAAGAATTAATTACTTGGAAGAGGTAAGCAATTAATGTTGGATCCTGAAAAATCTCTGAAAAGCATAATAAATCAAGAAATATAAAAAAAAAAGAAATATAGAACTCCATGTCTTATTCTCAGTGTGATAGTTAAGATATGTATTTTTAATCCGAAAACTAGTACAGTAATCTTTTAAGAGTGTATTTCTAGATATAATCTGATAACATAATGCCAAAATATGGTTGCTTTATGCTGCTCATCTATTTAAGTTTATACTTTTGGCTACTGTACTATTGCTAAGTGAAGATTAATTTATTCACAAGCAATGATATTCTTTTTAATATATTTGCGAGTTTTTAGACTTCAAAAATTGTATTTCTAAACTTTTCCCTAGTATGTGTTATGAGAAAGAAATGAAATATCTAGAAAATAATCACCTTTACTTTTTTATACCTGGGGAAATAGAAATATTATCACTGGGCATTACATAATCTAAAGGCCAGGTTTTGTAAGTCTTAAAGAGGAAAAGTGACTTACCCAAGAGAGTATTCTATTAAGATCCTGACACAGCCTAGATTGGTATCCAGAATTCAGAAATATTGGTTCAATATCCTTTCTATTCCACCTAATAATCTTTACTTCTAAATCAGCCAGAATGGATTATATAATTTTACAGTGCTAATATAAATTACATTCACTTGTATTATCCAATACTGTATGTAATATTCCTATTTTATAGGAGAAAACAAGGAGACTGAAGCTTAGCAAGGTGTATATTGTCCACTATCCTACGATAATGTAATATATCTATATCTCTATCTATCTATCTATCTATCTATCTATCTATCTATCTATCTATCTATCTATCTATCTATCTATCTATCTATCTATCTATCTATCTATCTATCTATCTATCTATCTATCTATCTATACACACACACACACACACACACACACATGCATTAGAGGCCTGGTGCATGAAATTCGTGCACTGGCAGGGGGTCCCTCACCCCTGCCTATTCCCTCTTACAGTCCAGGACCTCTCGGGGCATGTCCACCTGCCGGCGTAGGCCTGCTCCCCATGGGGCTCGGGCTTAAGCCAGCAGTCGGACATCCCTCTTGCAGTCCAGGACCCCTCGCTCCTTACCGCCCTCCTGCTTGCTGCTCCTTACTGCTCAGTTCACTGCTCCTTAGCACTGCCACAGAGGGGGGAGAGGCTCCTGCCACCACCGCTGCGCTCACCAGCCATGAGCTCAGTTCTGGCTGAGCGATGCTCCCCCTGTGGGAGCACACTGACCCCAAAGGGGCAGTTCCTGCATTGAGTGTCTGCCTCCTGGTGGTCAGTGCATATCATAGCAACTGGTCATTCTGGTCGTTCCACTATAATGGTTGCTTAGACTTTTATTATATACTAGTAGATTAGTGTGCTTTAATATAATTTTGGTTTGATGAAAAAAGAAATGGAACCATAATATCTGAGTTCACTTTGCAGTGGCTTTGAATTCTATTAGCAGGAATATTGTGTCATAAGCTATAAGGTTAGTTAAATAAGTATGAGTGGTGCCAATTTGAATTTTTTTTAACCAAAGAGTTTTATCAATGATTGTATTTCCTTTTAGCTCAGTAATTATTCTGAGCCCATAAATACAGGGAGTTGAGTTGTATACACTTAGGGAACAAATGTTTCTGAAGGACAGTAAAAATAGAACTCTGTCCAGTTTCTTCTGTTCAGAAAATGGTATTTCAGAGCATGACTGAGTAAATGTGCAACATTTTAAATAAAGAAAATGTTCCTTTACATCATGGTTTGAGACATGGTAACTGAAAGCTATTTGCATCTGAATAACATTATTATCTTCTCTGAACTTATTAAAGTAGTGATAAATGAGATAAAAGTAATGAAGCATACCCGTTTATGTTGACAGTTTTTAATATCGGAACTATATGGTTTTCATTACAAAATTAACTCTTGAGTTAGGAAAGTCAGGGTAAATATTGAGACCTATGCTTGTACAATAAACTTTGAAGTTTGTGATTAAGAATCACTTATTTGTTAGATGGCAAAGGAATAGGTAAAAGTGACCTCAAGTTTGCATATTCTAGCATATTTTTTATTTAACTCTTGAAATATGCTCAATATTAAGAGCAATATCAAATACATTTAAGCGCTTCATGAGTA